ATCTCTTTTATCATATATTTTAGTATTAAGCTTTCCGTTAATGATATAGATATCAAGATCGAGGAAAGGGCAGTGGTCATTGTTAGTATTAGCTTTATTTAAAGTAAGTTCAACAGGATAAATTTCTTTAGTATACATACTGAAGTCGTCATTATTGAGAGCCAAAATATCATCCAAATATCTAAAAGTATTATTAAATTTGTGTATCAGATGTTGTTTCGATGGGTCTTTACTGATTTTTGTCATAAATTGTAACTCATAGCAATACAAAAAAAAAGGTCCGCAATAAGTGGTGCACAGTTAGTCCCCATTGGAATTCCGATAACCTGACGATATACGGAATCTCCAAAGCGAACAAAAATGTTATCTAGTAAAAATTCAAGGGCATATATAGTATCAAAAACTGTCAGACGACTTCTTATAGGAGTTATTGCCCTTAAATGACGAATTTTTCTATTAACTATTGTTTTCCCGTTTTACCTATTATCTAAAAAATATTAAATATAGAGAAAATTTGATAGGAAATATGATCAGCAAGACAAAATCTACAAATAAGTAAACTTGGTCGAAATTTTCAAACGACTCCTTATTGGAGTTATTACCCTTTACTGGGGATTTTTATAAATTTTTTGCGTTTTTGACCATTTTATGAAAACTATAATAGATGGAGAGAAACTTAATAAAACAAAAATGATCAGCAAGACAAAATCTACAAATAAGTCACATTTCTTAAATCGTCGGACGATCCCTTTTTTGGAGGCAACGCCCTTTAATGACGACTTTTACCACTTATTTTGCGTTATCGCCTTATATCCGAAAAAATAGATAAATAAAAACTTATATAAGCAAAAATGACCAGCAAGACAAGATCTACATATAAGTCTACTGGCCGAAATCGTCAGTCCACTCCTTATTGGAGTTATTTCAATATAATGACGATTTTTACCTATCTTTAGTGTTCTGCCTCTAACCTGAAAACTATTATGACAGTTGTTTTCCAGTCGTTTGATGTGTTTGAGCTTTTGATTTTGCCAATTGTTTAGGGATTCTCCGTTTTGAATTTTCCTTGGAGTTCGGTATTTTTGTTGTTTTACTTTTTATAGATAGATGGTTACTTAAAAAAACAGAAATGATTCTGTGTTCTGCCTCTTATCTGAAAAAATATTATGACAGTTGTTTTCCAATCCGTTTGATGTGTTTGGGCTTTTGATTTTGCAAATTGTTTAGGGACTCTCCGTTCTGTATTTTCCTTGGAGTTCGGTATTTTTGTTGTTTTACTTTTTATAGATAGATGGTTACTTAAAAAAAGCAGAAATGATCAGCAAAACTAGATCTACAAATAAGTCAACATAGCTGAAATTCTCAGTCGACTCCTTATTGGAGTTCTTACTCTTTAATGACGATTTTTAATGTTATTTTACGTTTTGTTTATCATCTTGAAAATTATAAAAGATAGACACTTTAAATAGCACAAATGATAAGTAAGACAAGATCTACAAATAAGTCAATTTTTTGCCGAAATTGTTAGTAGGATCATTATAGGAGTGATTGCCCTTTAATGACAATTTGTTTACCCTTTTTGTGTTTGGGGTAAAAACTAAAGAAGATAGAGAGAAACTGTAAACAATAAAAATGATCAGCAATACAAAATCAACAAAAAAGAGATTTTTGTCATGAATTCTAATGTAATCCACAATGTTGGAGAGTCCATTGTTGAAGATGCACACAGACCTAGGTGAGCGACACAGGCTCTTTAGATCCTCTAATTTTTATAATTTACAACTGTTTTTGACATAAATCACTTGGCCGCAACCCCTGATCCAGAAAATTGTTGTCTAGGAATTGGATATAAAAATTAACATGTTTTGGTTATAGAAAATGTTTGATCGTAGATGGTGGCCAAGTTTTTCTTGAAGATCTTAGGCCTGACAACTGCACAAAATCATCGTATTTTGACAACATCTCCAATATGTGCTAACTGTGGAGCCTATAATGCACTCTTGTGATGAGATTTGATTTACATAGCACTTAGCTTTTCTAAATTTATCCATTTTAGAACCAAATTGTGGCTTTTTGATTATTTAAGATAAAGTTGAAATTCAAGGCCATATTTTGCCAAAATTGACCTTGTCCTTTCTGACGTAGTACTTATGTGTACATAAATACATAATATTAATATAATAAACAGATTTAAAGGTCTATATATAAAATGTCCATAATGTCTTATCTATACTTCTTTTGCATAACAAAACAAGCATATATGAATTTGTTAAGTAACTTAATACAATTTCCCCAAAAGCCGATAATTTAAACCTTACAAATTTCGATCATTTGAATGTTGAATGGTTTTTGCATAATTATACATGTATGTATATTTCAGTTGACTTCGCACTGTTGATTTCAACCTGCTAACTACTTTCAATTTAAGTTTTTTCTTTTACTTTTATTTACTTTTTACATTTAAACATTTGAAACATAAGAATTGTATGCCTAGTTTAACTTATATATACCTATGCACATATATGTATTCCTATCATCAATGCCCCTCCCAGGGACACTTTACTTCTAGGGGCATGAAAGTAATCAGCAAACATAAGAAGCAATATGCCGTAAACTAGTCCTATTCCATCTACTAATGTGTTAACAAGTAATAAACATACTATTTGTTTTAGTCACTTCATATTTACTTAGTATCAAGAAAAATTGCGTTTTTAAATTAAGTCGTACTTCACCAAAAATAAAGTCTATTCAGACGAATCTATTTTTACCTTTATATAAAGTATTAAGTTATAGCTTTTATTCATTTTAAGTTTTTAAAATTAAGACTAACATTTTTTTCTGCGAAAATCGTTGCCTACCAAGGTTATGTTATGAAAGGATTTAGGACGCTTTTAGAAATAATTGGAAATTGAAATAAAGTAGATCTTAGTAAAGCAAAAATATGTGTTTCTAGTTTATTAAGATAGTTAAAAAGTAAATTGAATATAAATTTCAAATAATTCGTTGATATAAGAAGAAAATACATAAGTTAAAAAGATCAAGATTCGTAAGTATAACGGACTTTATCTTAGATGCAAGATAATCAGTAATAGTACAAAGTCAAGAACCTCATTAAATAAGTTATTTGGCACGCGTAAAGAAGGTTATTAGGTTGCCGGACAGATGGATGTCGAATTGCTATTACATCCAAGGTTATAACCATATTCTCAGAATCATGAATATTCAGTAATACATTAAGGCACACGAGAATGTTATTAACAACCAATCAAACAGCTGAGATACGAAGATTGATGTATACAAGATAATAATTAAAATTTAACAAATTTTTAATTATCTTTTATTATTAAGATCAGAAATTAAAATTCTTCCAAAAATATTATTCTTTTTAATTTTAGAAAACATAATTCTGATGCTTTTCAAAAACAAATAAATGCATTTTGCATATTATGAAGTAATAAATGTTTTGGCAGCAAATTCCATCGTTTGCAAAAGAAGCTCAATTTCGGCTGGGGAACAAGAATGTCGGGTATTCAATTGTGACTATAAAAGCAAATATAAGTCTAGTGCCCGTACTATCCTTGTTCCTACCAGCAAATTGAGTTGTCTTATTTATTTCATTAAAAAGGTAAGTTATATACTGTTACTTAAACTTATTTAAAGAAAGAAATTAATTGCTAAATAATTCAATAAATATAAATATAAATATATATATTCAGATATAACATTTTAGTCATTGCGTTTCATGAGGTTATTCACTCATGTATAACAAATAGACTGAACGTAGTTTACAAGGTAATTCAAGCAATATTTGAAATAGAAATACATATGTTATTGTCAACTGATAATGTTATTTATTGTTAATCTGTATGATTTATGCACTGTGATATTTTATGATCAAAAAGAAAAGAAAAGAATAATTAAACTATCCTTGTTCCTACCAGCAAATTGAGTTGTCTTATTTATTTCATTAAAAAGGTCGGAAGGCGCGAGTCCCACTCTCGCTGCCAAGCCAGTCCATAACAACGACATGTAGTCCCCAGATGCCCAGACATCTTTCTACCTACAGGAACCGTAGAAGAACTTAACAAACGAGAGAAGGGAAATCACCATCATGTTTATCAATATAGAAGTCATAAAGCACAATCATAGTCCCACCTTAACAAGTGTTCCCCTGTGAAGTATACAACAAAAAGGACCATAAAAACCTTCACAACAGTTATACATATGTTATACAATAGTTTGTTTTGAAATTATAATGTGGGCAAAATATAATGAATTGTGTGCTAAGCTGTGATTGAAATATTAGTATGTCGGACCTTTCATATTATAATGAGGTTTGTTTAGTAAAATATCTTCAGATTTAATTTAATGTCTGCTTCAAATTAAATGTATCCAATTACACACTGGAGCAATTTATACGACAAAATAATGACAATGGAATGTTTTGGCAAAAGGACAATACCTAGATGACTGTTCTTGGCTAAATAGAAAACTGTTCATAAGCTGGGGTATAGTCAAATTTGAGTAGATAAAATGATTGATTAATCGATTGTAGCTTTCTTAACGTCCAGTAACAAATATTTCATGCATACTCAGGACGAAACAAATAAACGATTAATACAATATGTATGTTCTGATTGGATGAAGGGCGGGAAATTAAGTCGGCTACTGAAAAATGAGGGTATATTGGATGGAGAAAGAAATTTATTCTTGTATCAGTCAACACAATAATGTGAATTAATCTATCATGGACTATCAAAGATCCGCCGGCAATAAAAAAAAAAAATCCACAATTGACAAAAAAAAACCAAAAAAAAAAACAAACAACATTAATATTTGCTAACATAGGACCACTGACCATTGCCTTAACCTGGAACAGACTCAGACACATGTGACAATGCTACACTAGTTTTTGTAATCTCAATCCTCCCCATTTTTCATCCCGATCAGATGACTTTTAAAAATCACACAAAAGAACTTCAAAAATCAGTACAGTAGAATCAATTTTCAAATGTTGTAATCATAATAGTTTTTTATAACATAATATTCTGTCATTATGCATAAATAAATGAATGAAATTATTTAAATATTTCGATGATATTTTAAATGTCAGTATTTAAACATGCTATGTTGAAGCCGTTTCCTTTTTTGCGTGTAAGTCAGTTAACCGTTTTGTACACGGTAACATGATCATAAAATGTAGAATAGATGCCATCAAAAACATTCCTCCCCCAAGATAAAACGATGCATCATAATTCCCTGTGGCTTGTAAAATCATTCCTGAAATAAAATCCAAATAAGAATGTGTTATACCATTGCGATATCTCCCAAGTCTATAGTTATCAACGTAGCGTCATAAAAAATTATAGCAATTAAAACGCATTTTTTTATCAAATGTGTAGGTGCCGGAGCGTTTGATATCTAGTATTTATTCAATGTGTAGGTACCGGAACGCCTGATATCAATTTTATTTTTCGTTTTGTCCATTGTGATATTTATATTCATCTGACATATAGTGTGTCCGATTCAATTTTCATGCAACGATTGGTTCATGTGTTCTTTCATCTGCTTTCGATAGTTTTTTTTTCATTTCTGTTACATGTATCAACCAATTGACACATATCATTGTGTCTCTCAGAAGCATATGACAAGTATCATCTGCAGGATAAGACATGCTAACCCTTTTATGGGATTTCGATGCCAGGGGTTACGCGATTTTTTTTTAAGAATTCGTTTTGCTAAAGAAACTTTGTTTTTTGTATCGTCTGTTGTTTACACTTCCACATGTATTCACGATTTATATTGGTGGGCTCGTCTTATTTTATTTTATTTTTTTAAATTTTATTTAATTCAATTTTATTTTCTTTCCTTATTCATTGTTTGAAAACTTTTAAAGATGAAAACAGAGACCAACATTGCATCACTACGGTCATCTATGTTTCAAGGTATTGTGAAATATTTGGCATTTGTTCCTACCTGCTAACAGAGGTCCAATTACAGAAGCTATTCCTCGAGCCACACCTAGTAAGCCGAATGAGTTAGCTAATCGTTCTACCCCAAGTAAATCACACAATATGATAGGTGCAAGTGATACATATGTAGCTGTAAATATCATAAAACACTGCATTGAATTATACTCAAATTTAAAATGTTCATACGATGATACGGCGTATATCTAGTAGTAAAATATAAAATTTCTGTTTGAAATAATTTACTACGTGACGATGCATACGTGATAAATAAGGTGATTGCAAATAGCAACAAGTAGTTAATTAGAACATTATTTTAACCTTGAGCTTCACTGTAGAGAAATTAATTATTTAAATGAGCATCTGGTGCAGTAAAATTGGTACAGATAATGTTATTATTACCACCAGGTCGATACCTTTGCTTGTAAACTTAGTTTTGAGAGTTTCACAAGCCCAATAGCCTGTGCTTTGATACTGGCATGACAGTGTGGATACTGTTTTATTTAAATTTGCCGTAAAACTTGAAATCATTTTGAATTAAGAAATGTATCTCCCTCGTGCATAGCTTTGATTCCTTGCTTGCTTGTCCGGGTTTTGGCTATTCTTTTGGATCTTTTATATTTTATCAACTCTTCAAAGTTTGTATTAGGTTTTGAACTTTCATTTATTTTGACCTCGATCATCACTGACGAAACATTTATTGTGGATATGCGCATCTGATGCAGTTACATTGGTACTGTTAATGTCATTAGTCAAGAATAAGCCTAAATTAGTCCTTTTAGCCATCGTAAGTCAGTCATACACTAGAAGCTTCAAGTAGCCACTCTCGCTCACATTGGATCTTTGCATTTTTATTCTGAGTAAAGCCAATCTATGTTCTCCAGTGGAAAACTGCAACCGAGGATATCTTTTTGAAATATATCTTTGATGAGTCTGCCTAGCTTAAAGATACCTTAATGTTTTAAACAGAACAGCTAGTTACCTAAATACCGATACCTAAGTTTCACGGTATCGTCTATATTTGATGTCAGCAGGGGACATCTGAAATTAATTTAAAAACCAACCATAATAGCAAAATTCTTGCCCAAATTTCTTCAAACTAAATAGAAAGAACCAACTATAATGTATGTAAACAGATATTCAAAATTTCTGTTTTAAGTAATGGTTGCTGAAATAATTGGTTGGAAGATGTATTCCAAAGACAATTAAAAATGGGAGTCATCAAACCGCCAATGTACTAATATATAGCCTTCATAAACTGTCATGCCCGTAGAAGGAATGATGAATATAGTGTTAATTGCATGCTCTTCAATTTCGTCTTTGGTTTGGTCATACAACCTTTTTTATTCGAGCGTCTTATTGTACACTGAATATGTTTTACATGACCAGTTTTTATTTATAAACCATTACTGCATATGTATTCAACTGAGCTCATTTGTTTTAAACTAGAAATTTTGCAATCAGACATTGATGGCTGTAGCCGTATTTTGCACAATTTGTCGGAATTTTGACTTGAAATGCTCTATAACTTCGTGTTTGGTTTGGCCTTCCACTTTTATTTATTCGAGCACCACTGAAGAGTCTTGTGTAGACGAAACGCGCGTCTGCCAAAGAAGATTTTGTAATAGTGCCTTTTCAAACAAGTCCATGTAGTTGTAATGTAATGAATGTCCAGTTGAAATGAATCAACAATCATGATTTGAAAAAAATAAAATAAATGTAGAAACATAAAATTTGTCAACGTACCTACACATAACCCAAATACTACACCGAAAACCACCAAGAGGGAATATTTTGTACAAAGAGGCTGTAAGAATAGTGCTACGGCCGCTATAAAAAGAGCTATGTTGTTTAAAACCAAAGCATTGACTTTCTTCATGTTAGCTAGAACTCCGGATAGTATTCGACCAATTATGTTCATGACACCTAAATTATAAATCAAACTACAATTTATGGAATAAACATTATTATAAAATAAATTGAATGTATGCTTTATATAATTAATAAAACACATTTGATATTATAAAATATTACCAGATGCTGAGACAAAAAATGCTGTTATTAATCTCGTGTTGTTATCTTTAAATTAATCATAGAAGAAATATATTTATGAGTATTTAATTTCATATTTGAGATATTATGGATATGGTTTATGAGAAACTTTTATTTGCCTTTATTTTGTATAGAAAATGCTATTCGTGTAAACCAATGAATAATCAGTCTTGTGTTTTGTGTACTGTTGTTTGTCTTTTAGTCTTTTTCTTTTTTTTGCGATGGCGTTGTCAGTTTATTTTCGACTTATGAGTTTGAATGTCTCTTTAATATCTTTCGCCTCTCTCTTATAAAATCATGGTCCTAAAATTCTGAACAACTAAACTGCTTACCTATCACAGAGAGTAATATTGCAGCTTCTGTGCTTGGTATTCCTAACAATAGAGCTCTGTCCACTAGATACATAAACGGGATATAATATGCCGCAGCCCCAAATATATTGCCTATACATATCAGCACAAATGATGCATTGGATAAAAGTGAAAAGTCAAAAACTTCAGTGAACACTTCCGTTATACAAGACGTAAGAAAATAACATTTACTTGAAAACGTTTTTTGTTGTAGAAAAGTAGAAAGGATGGACCTATTGCTGTGCATTATGTTTGGCAAGGATCTGAACGGTTTATTATATGTCACACTTCCCTCACCAATTTTATCACCAGCTATAATTGTGTTATTGTCATATTGAGTCATGTCATCCAAAGACTTCGTAATTCGTCCGTTTTTCGGTGTTTTCTGCTCCTTTTTGCTTTGATGTTGAGCTACTTGAAGAAAAGGCAGAGACTCTTCTCCCAACGTTATTCTTTCATTATCTCCAATCACCTCAACAACTTCATCGTATATATGCTCCGAGCTACATTCGACTTCTTTTTGTATCAGTTGAAGTGGTCTTATGAGCATTCCACAAACAGCGCCATTTAAAATTATACCCGCCATGATTATCAACACGTTTCTCCAATCATAAATTTCTGAAAGAAATTCCAAGAAAGGTGAAAATATGAAAGTTCCTATTCCTGAACCACAAACGGCAATACCTGTTGCTATAGGTCTCTTTTTGTCGAAGTACAAACCCACACTTACAATAGAAGGTAGATACATCATACCAAAACCTAAACCTGAAAAAAACAAAAAGTGTGAATTATTTCAACATAGTTTCTTAAGAAAGAAAAGCAGGCTAATTCGTTTGAATTGTTTCACATTTTTCATGGCGGGGCCTTTTATAGCTGACTATACGGTACGGGATTTTCGCATTGTTGACCTATACGGTGACCTATAATGGTTTATATCTTTGTCATTTGATATTGTCACATTACAACTTATAACTATTCAGTAGACTTGAAAAACAAGTTAAATCAAATCGAGTAATTTTCACCATTTTGTCAGATCTGATTGATTAAAATGAAATAAGGTAACTGGTTTATCTATATTCTTTCCTTTTTAGTGAACGAAAAAAAGAATATATTTTATTTGTATCATTAGCCATGCTATTTACCTCCAATAACACCATATGTTACTATCAGTATATCTAGGTTTGGACTAAATGATCCTATAATAACACCAACTGCAGCTATTAGACTTCCTGTTATAGAAACCATGCGGCATCCAAACTTGTTCACTAGTCCACTTGCAAATGGGCCTAAAAATAACCATGCGAAAAGTTTAATCATCTGTAACATTCATCTGGATACTTTGTTTACATGTATTTGAAAATTTGGAACAGATCTATCATATTAAGCTTATGTTTAGTATGCTTTTTATTTTTGTCCATAATTCTAAAAACTGACAAAGCAAACTTCACGATGAAAAGGGGGATTAATTCAAATTTCAATTTATTAAATTTTCATGATTATGTCATTGTCAAGTTTTTCAATGTCTTTTAATATTCGTTCCTTCTCCTTTGCAGACATATTTAGTAATATTTCAATGTGAAACCAGAGCAATATTTATTGATTAAGAATTGGCTAGTTGATTGTTTATTTAGATATCTATAAACCATTCACACTCCTCATTCTTTCCTCATTACTATTAAAGTTTCTATCATTGTTTATTTAAATCTTTAATTTCGTTCTTTTCATTTATACGAAAATGTCGGTTTTTTTTATATTTCTCTTTTGTTTTGGTTTCTATACTTATGACCACTCATTCATGTTTAATGGTATATGTTGCTTTTTTTTCTTTGTTTCTTCCATCATAAAAGTTAATAGAATTATAACCAAGTACTGCAGAGTCATTATAAATACAAAACTTGTTTGCTACACATATATGTTGTACTTTGCGCCGATTTCCGATTTAATGTGTTTGCATACGCGACTCGCCTTGTTGTTGTCCCAATGTTTGCCAGTGTCTTACTGATTGTTTTTTTTCCATTCTCTCCATTATTTGGTAAAAGAAATATAAGGTTGATATGCACAAGCGTTTTTTTTTAATTATTGTTGTTGCTTATTTATTATTATTATGCATCAAGAAGTCGAACCATACAAGAGGTGTAAGCGGTATTCTTCAAGACAGATAAGGGTGGGTTACATACTACATAAATAGCTGGTGATATATAAACGCATACACTGTCGTTTGTTGCTCCAAAACAAAACAATTGAATCATAGTTGTTACAATATTGTTCTATTCAAATAAGATGATGTGGTATGAGTGCCAATGAGACAACTCTCCATCCAAGTCACAATGTATAAAAAGTTAACAATTATAGGTCAAAGTACGGTCTTCAACACGGAGCCATGGCTCACACCGAACAGCAGGCTATAAAGGGCACCAAAATGACTAGTGTAAAACAATTCAAACAGGAAAACCAACGGTCTACTCTATATAAAAACGAGAAACGAGAAACACCTATGAACCACACCAGCAAACGACAACCACTGAACAACAGGCTCCTGACTTAGGATAGGTGCATACAAATGCTGCGGGTTTAAACGTGTTAACAGGCGCCAACCTTCACCCTAACCTGAGACAATAGTGTTACATTACAACATAAAAAGACACACTATAAAATATCAATTGAAATGGCTTAACTCGATCAAAAAGACATTTAAACAAAAACAAGTAAACATGCACTGAACGAATAAGTTTGACCTATTTGCCTTTTTTCATTATTATGATAACATTTGCTTTAGGCATTATTTCCATGAGAAAACATAATAAACCATTTCAGTCAAAGTCTTCATATGATTAATATAATACACCTACCAGTACACATGTAAGTGCTAATCATTACCGATTTAACAAGAGATAGTTGTTTCAGTATTGTTCTATTATTTTTTTTTATGTAAATGATACCATGCATATACTTTAGGATTATTTCCATGAGAAATCTTAATAAATCTTTTCAGTCAAAGTCTTCTTGTGATTAATATAATACACATACCCGTGCACATATAAGTGCCAATCATTACCGATCCAACTAGAGACACTTTACTCTTAGAGGCCTGGAAGTAATCGGCAAATTTTGGTAGTAATACTCCATAAGCTAATCCTATCCCATCTACTAGAATATTGCACATGAGTGAACTGAATACCACGACCCATCCCCAACCACCATCAGGGGATTGAGGCACTGTCTTCATCTTCTTGTTGTTCCTTACAAAAAATCAGTTTTAGAATATTCCTTTTCTTGGATTTACCTAAACCTTGAATCACCTAATATATTATGTGTGCACCAAAAATAAAAGGCCTTAATAATAATACAGGTAAGTTAATTTGTTTGATTTAAACTTTTATCAGAGATAGCACAATACAGTCTACCCTTATTTAACCTGTTTAAAACGAATACGTACTGAAATGAATAAAACATAATGGCATATACCTATATTCACTGTTCAGAAGAACCATCTTATTTAAAGCAGACGAGTCCAAAGTTTAAAAAGGAGATAAGGAAATCAAAATCATATGTAAAGAACTACAGGTAACGCATTTGCAATAAGAAGAAAAGGCAAACAACAGTTTCAAAAATATAATACAGAAAACATAGATTAATTGACACTATCCCCAACAAATACTAGAGGTAAACTCTGGTGCCCAGTAAGGGCTAGCAGTTTCTGCTTTACTAGTTGCACCTGTCATATTACTCAGAAAAAGAAAACAACTCGGCGATAAGCGGCGTCAGAAGTCTACCTTTGAAAGCGAAGACATTTTCTTTACTTTTAAAAATACTTGGTTCAATAACCACAACCATAATTCTAGACAATAATGTAAGAAAACACAAGCCGTAAATATCGCTTCTACTGACAGATATATAGTTCATATGCAGGTTCTGCTGGAGTATTTGAAAATACAAATGGAAAGTTTACAATAAAAAAAAATGAAAACATGTATTTTGTCGGGAAGAACATAGCACCGGAGCGTTTCATCTGTCCTGTTTGGATGTAAACCAAAATCAAAATATGCTACAGTTCCAAAATTGATTTCAATGAAGCTGCAAATATGAACATTCGAGTCCTTCGTTGGAAATGTAAAAAACGCTTTGAATTTTGAAAATTATGTCAATGATAGCTTATAAAAATGTAAACAAGTAAAACGAATGTATTTCATATTGTTTATCGAAAGTTTATACACATGAAAGCTTTGGGTGGGTTTTATCCTGTCTGTATTTAACAACAAAAGTATATCTTTATAGCAAAACACACTGCTGTCAATTACAAAGCCTCAAATGGTAACGCTGATGCTTCGTTAACATGGAATGTAACCAGATGGTATTGATTCGATAAATAGTTTGGTAGATAAATACAGGCAACAGTAGTATACCGCTGTTCGAAATTCATAAATCCATTGAGAAAAAACAAATCCGGGTTACAAACTAAAACTGAGGGAAACATCAAATATAAGAGAACAAAGACACAACAGAAACACTAAAATGCAACACACACAGAAACGAACTATAAGATAACAATAGCCATTTTCCTGACTTGGTACAGGACATTTTAAGAAAAAATGGTGGGTTGAACCTGGTTTTGTGGCTAGCCAAACCTCCCGCTTTAATGGCAATGTTAAATATAACACTAAAATGACCGGACTACAATACAAATAAATGGAAGAACATACAGGACAGAGAAACACACAAATAAACAATACAATAGAACATTACGACAAGCTAATAGTTATCAAAGGTGCCAGGTCTAAAGATGAAGAGCATTGATGACCCAAAATTTCAAAACGTTGTGCCAAATACGGCTAGGTTATCTGCCTGGGATAAGAAAATATTTAGTATTTAGAATAATTCATATTTTTGCAAACAGTAAATTTATGAATATAAAAATGACCATATAATTGATATACATGTTAACACGGATGTGGTGACTAACTACAGAATACGTAAAACAACCTAGATCAGTACATAAAAACAGCACAGCCGAACAACACATTAAATGTCAGCCGAATAGATCGACGCACAAAAGTGACGTCACAGGAAAATTTCTAAAAATTTCCAAAAAATTGGATAGAGTTCAAGATTAGGTTTGTAATACTGATATAACATGTATTTAATAACAATGAAAATAACAATACTTATTAATATAAAATTGTGTTAGTAATTAGATAATTAGAACTCCTTTAAACAAGCTTACATTTTTGTTTCGTTCTTTATATTTGCTTGTCAATTCTTCTATTGCGTTTGTGTTGTTTGTCCTTTTTTGATTTTGACAATAAAAACCTGACAAAATGCACATATTGAATTCAAGTACACATTATTAGTGAATATAATATAAGTATCTTTATAGCACTATACAAAAGGAGGAGAAGTTACCTATAACATTAACGGTACCAGTTCAAGGCAGTTGTACGGTACCAGAAGCGAATTTCGACAATCAACGTCTCTTCATTGAAGTTCGAGGCCAAAACATTTAAAAAAACATAGCCTAATACAAACGTTGAAAGCTTATCATACCAAAAAGGACCTAACGTATATCCAAATCAAGACAACGAATCGGAGCTGTGTATGAACGAAATACATTCCTCAATTTAAAATGTTTTCCAAAATTTTATAACAAAAAAAATCAATCAAACAATATCCGCATTTTCATGTACCCAATTTACTAGCTATTGGACTGGTGATACTTACGAACAAGTCGACCGGCATAGGTATTGACCCAGTGATAGTAATAACATTAACGATACCAACTGTACTGCACAGCAACAGATGATAATAAATGTCTCTTCAGTGATGCTGGAGGCCAAACAATTAAAATTCATAATCAGTACAAACGTTGAGAAGCATATCAAACAAAAAAGGACCTAAAGTATAGCCAAATCCGGACAGAGGTCAGAGTATCTTGTGAGGCAGATACATTTCTTAATAGGTAACAATCAAGAACAGTTTATGTTCAATATGACTTACCTATCAAAACAACAACAAACAAGCAGACAACTACAGGTGATACTCAAGTTATAGGATAACTGTACAATGGAAACGTGATTTTGAAATTGGTATACCAGACAGTTAGGCTGTATATATACATTTTAAACCACAAGTGTGCCACAATTGAAGAAGGAAAACATAATATAACCGGTTTTATTTCAAAAAATATAAATATAACGACGTAGTAAAATATTCACAAATATTAATATAAATAATAAAAACAATATTAGCATTCTTCATCTTCCTCATATGTCTCTTTTACAATTGTTTCCTGTTTGCCAGCGTCGTTAAGACGTTTTATAAAAGGTAAATGTAACATTAAGTGTAATAATGCTCCAACAAAGAACATTCCTCCACCAAAGTAAAATGAGGCATCATAATTTCCAGTTGCTTGAAAAACAGCTCCTAAAACAGAAAATGTATTATTATCGCACATAAGTTAAGAATAAGCATGTATATATTTATCATACTGTTATGGCAATTTTTGATTCCTGATTTTAGTATTTTTAGTAACAAACCATCAGAAAAAATTGTTGAAACAGAGAATGAAATAGTTGTATATCAACTTTTAATAAACAAACTGTGTAATGCTATTTTAACTAATGTCATAAATGACGTCTTGGGAAGTAAACTACAAATTCTACATCATCCCTCTTCCTCCAATAAATAGTACGGAATTGATGGTACATTTTCAATATTTTGGAATAACAAATCAAGAACAATAATACGATCGAGTGAAAAATGTAATTTAAAAGATAAAATTTAAAGCTTTTATTAAGTACGAATCGAGCCTTCATGCATAATCAGCACACCACATTAGCTCTTATCACCATTACAAGGTATAAAATTTGTCCTTGAATATTATTATGTTATCTGTAAGACTATACATTTATTTTCCTTGTCTAGTTCCGATGTCCATTATCAAGTGTTTGTTTACCTAAATTATTTGTTTTAAAGACATTAATATCTCGTTTGCACTGATGGTGAGTTTTAGATCGGCCTTTGGGAACATTATGATTATCGCCAGGAGCAGATACAGTGTATCTCTTCAAAACTATCATAATGATGTGTCATGAAACAGTTCTCAGATAGAACTTTTAGAATCAGTCTAAGGTAGAATTTTAAGAATCAGTCTTAGGTAGAACTTTCAGAATCAGTCTAAGGTAGAACTATCCAAAGTGTTGTATGTTAAAATTGTCAGGATTTGTCTACGGTAGAACTGTCAGAATCAATTCTAGGATAGACCAGTTCTTATGGATGTACATTAGTTTAGCTCTTGGTGTGATTAAGAATATTTGTAGTCCTATTGGAATTCTGGAAAGATAACTTAATTTATACTGTAGAGGTGCTACTTTGTGATTGAAAGTGTCTTCCTCGTCTATGGCGTCGTGAAACAATTCAGGTTCGTGAAATTTTGCGTGGTCCGCTTCATATCAGTAATTGTTGATATGTACCCAGAATATTTTACTTGGAACCGTTTCAGAGTTGCAGTATAAAGTGAACAACAATAAATTATCTCAAAACACACGCGTTTTTGTACTCCGCTGGAAACAGGATAGAAATGCTCTGCAAAACCTTGCATTCTACCTGTTTCTTAACCTTCTCAAATAAATGTTATATATTGAGACAATGTATAGTTATCCTAATATAATTACATGTACCTGAAAGACATATTTTGCATAAAAGGATTAGTTAATTGAATTAATACAATTTTGATTTAAAGTATTTGCCTAGTGCTTACCGTTGTAGAATGTATGGTAGTTATGTTTTTTTCTCAATGTTTGAAATTTATGTTTAAAAAAAAACTCTTTTTATTTATATATAATAATGCTTTAGAAGTAGGTCAAATATATTTCTAATATTTTAGTACCTAATAGTTTCGAAAATAATATCTTTTCTTTCTGAAGTCAATTAGTCTGGTATCTTTAGTGAGTATTTTAATCACTATTTAATGTCACTGCTGGTTGACGTTTCCTCCCCAGTTTGAATATTGTAACATTATAAAATCTTATGTATGGATACATATGTAGTTTGTTGTATTATGTAATGTTTAGAATACGCTAATACAGCAGTTCATAAAAATAAAAACCAAAAACAACAAAATAAAACGAAATTATGACAACAATTTACAAAAATGAACAATACCACATAATCAAAAACAGTAACCATGATATCTTAGAATACATTGTTCCAAGAATAAAGATAAAGATAAGAAATATATGAATAAAGAAAACAGAAAGAAAAATAAATACATAAATATAAAAAAAATAGAGCTGAACAGAACTGTTCTTCATATAGAACTATCAAAATATGTTCCAGGACAGAACTGTCGAAACTGTTCTAGGGTAGAACTTTCAGAATCTGTTCTAGGATTGAACTGTCCAAATATGTTTAAGAGTAGAACAACATCTGTCATAAACTGTTCTAAAGGTATCTGGAGAACTCATCGACAGGCTGTTATGGAACAGTTCACCTGACAATTTCTTGCAGATTTTAAGAGCGATTTAAACTGATCAAAACTGTAGTATGTTCACAGGCCATCATAATGGGTAGTTTCTGACGATTTTATATCTACTGCATTTTTATGTTTACTAGTAAAATTACTTTCTATCGATCTGCTTTTTTTTTAAACATAATTGAGCTTTTACAGCCTGTAATCAAACAGGATACAATTTGGAACCCTATACTCAGGAATAGATTACCTTAGCTGTATTTTTGCAAAAACTTTTAGGAATTTTTGGTCCTCAATGCTCTTTAACTTCGTACTTTATTTGGCCTTTTTAATTTTTTTGGATTCGAGTGTCACTGATGAGTCTTTTGTAGACGAAACGCGCGTCTAGCGCAAATACAAAATTTCAATCCTGGTATCTACTGGTTGGTACTGTACATTTTGCTAGAGTTTTCACTAAGAGATTACATGAATAGTTTCCTGCTATTTTCTTTCTATCAGAAATCATATCATACCCTCGATATATGAATAGTTTGTTTCATCTGAGATGAATAAAAAGAGATGGAGGCTATATGTCAATGAAACAGAAATCCGACAACCCGAAAAAACTTTCAAAGGTCAATCGTCTTTAGCTACTGTAATTCAACAATATACAAGATTTAAAAGCTATAAAACCAAGTTTTACCCATCGCTGTCATTTCCAGTGCCTACACAAAGTCAGGACTTAAATATATGGAAGTCAACCATCACTTGTACCAGTGATAATTATCCGAAAGACATTTGGCCAAATTTATGGAGTTTCAAGGACAATATTTGTTCAATGCTTCTTCCCAATAACTGCAATATGTTTAGTTTAAAATAATGTGAACTACGTATTTATACTACAAACGGTAAAGCCATTTCAGATTATCGTCTAGTCTTATATTTTTCTATACCTGCTGCTGGTGGTCCTGCTATGCCAGCTATCCCACGAGCAAGAGTCAACAGACCGAATGCATTAGCAAGTCGATTTAGTCCCAGTAAATCACATAGTATGATAGATGTTAAAGATATAAATGCGGCTGAAAAAATAAAATAACATTAATAGTTTTTGGACTAGAAAATGCATATTTATTGCAATAAACATTTGATAACTTTAACAACAACAAAATACGTTTAAATTATTAATAGCATTAATGTAGATTACTAGTAATACACTACCACCTTGAAGGTCATTAGATTGAAAAACTCTGAAAAATATGTCAAAATACATTTAATAGTAACCTAATTTTTATTATATGATTAACACATCACCGAAAAGAGAAGAAAATGTTCCCATACAGATACGAATTAAAAGAGATGCGGAGTATACCTTAATGAAACAGCAACACAACGATGACAATATCAAAAACCGGTATGTTCCGATTACTAAGTTTCTTCAGCTCTCTTAATTATTTTACATGCATGATCTTACCTACACTCAAACCAAATATTACACTGAATGCTACCAGTGCAGGATATACTGTACACAGTGGCTGTAGAAATAAAGTCAAAGCTGCTATCAGAAGGGCTATATTATTTACAACTAAAGCATCGACGTTCTTCAGATTCGCTACCATTCCTGACAATAGTCGTCCAATTGTATTAGTTATACCTATGAAATAAACAATTAAGAGTTATGCATGTACTGGTTGTTTATCAGCTTTTCACCGCTTTACACTATTTTCAGGAATGTAATTCAAACTACAAACAGCTGACTCGACTTCCATGTTATGTGCATTTCATAACTACTCCAGTTGTTTTATGTTAAAAAAAACAGTGCTTAAAAACTCATTAAAGATGCCAGGCTTATAAGCCATATATAAAACAAAATTTAGCAAGAAAATATGTACATGTTTGTATTTTATCGGTCTCCCTAGCCTTTATCAACCTGCTCATCACTTCACAAAATTCCAGATAACAATTTTGTTATGTCAAATTTGATAAGTTTGACCTAACACTGACAAGTTTAAAGTCTTCTCCAAGTTAATTTTGAAACAAAGAAAAACTACGTATAAAAAAATGATATATATATATCTTTTTGTAAAACAAAATACCCACTATTTGGCACAATCAGAAGCCGTTTGATTTCGTTTGCTGTGCCGAACAAGGCTTAATATCATTATTCCCAAGTGATATTTTACAATGTCAAAAACCAGATGATTGGTATAACAATATATGAGAGTCTGAATTGGGTTTCCTTCATTTCTTTTTTTTTAATTTTTAGACCATTTTTTTCTATTCTTTATCTAGATCTATTTTGCCCGTTATTCTCTATTGTTGATATTTAAACACCTTTTTGCTTTTTTGCCCATTATTCTCTAATCTGCAAACCCCCATTCAGACCCTCATATATAAGACCAGTTTAACTTGCTTACGATTGAATATTTTTAAAACAAAATTCTGAATAACGTGACAACATAAACGTTTCTCTTTTCAGAAATCGACATAAAATATGAGAACCTGCTATAATCTTTTGTCATTGATTTTGAACTACTAGTTTGTAAGTAACCTACCAATTATAGAAAGAAGAAAAGCTGCCTGAGTATTCGGTGTTCCCAATATAAGTGCTCTATCGACTAGGAAATAAAATGGAATAAAGAATCCAGTACATGCAAATATATTCCCTATACAAAGTAATAAAAATGGAATATTTAGTAATAAAGAGAAATCTAACATTTCTTTTAATATTGTGAGAACGGTGTCTGGTAGACACGTACATCTGTCCCAGAATGTGACTCGCTGTGAGTATGATGACTGGATCGAATATACTGAATTTGTATGTACAAGATTTGGATGTGAGTGGAATTGTGGAATGTACAACATACTCCCGCTGTAGATAATTTCATGTGTTCTAACTAGTTTCATTCTATCGCGATAGGCACACCGCTTATCGGTATAATTAGATCTCTGAAACTGGGATAAATCATTCAATGAACTAGATCGTCTGTTTATCCGATGAACGTTTTGTTTTTGTTCTACGTGAATAAAGGGTTGGACTTCCCGGAGGTGAATTCCTTCTTTAGACAAATGTTCGCTTACAGTATCACAATCTATGTCTGAGTCAATTTCAGGCTTTTTCTGGTCGAATTTCGTAACATCGGAAGTGGCATCTGAACTTGAGTCCAGCCTTTTCTTGTCAACTTTAATTCCCGAATCAGAGCTAACATCTGATGAACTTTCCAACATATTTTGGTTATTCTTCGATTTAATTGGTCTCATCAACATCCCACATACTGCCCCATTTAGGATTATTCCTGCCATAATTCGTAGCAAGTTTCTCCAGTCGTATACTTCTGATAAATATTCCAATAACGGTGAGAATATGAATGTACCAATACCGGAACCACACACGGCAATACCTGTTGCAAGGGGGCGCTTTTTGTCAAAGTAATATCCTACACTTACAATTGAGGGCAGGTACACCATTCCGAAACCAAAACCTTGAAATATAATGGCAGATTATTCATATAAATAAACAGAAATTTATGCTTTTTTCAATAGTTTTTAAACCTTTTGTCGTTATGTCTACTTGTTTGGTTATTGTTTGCCCCTGTTTTTTTTTATTATTTTCTGATCTTTCCTTATTTCTTTTAAATTTTATATTGGTACAGTGTTTTTATTTTAAGAACTATAGGTTACTGAATATATAGGAATATGGCAGTTGTTTTCAAATAGTCCGTTTCTATGTATGTTGGCGTTTGTTTTTGTTGCAGGTCAGTGTTTCTGTTGTTCAGTTGTTTTCCTCTTATAGTTGATGTGTTTCCCTCGGTTTTAATTTGTAAACCGGATTTGTTTTCGCTTAATCGATTTTTGACTATTGAACAACGGTATACTACTGTTGCCTTTATTTACTTACTTTGTCTGAAAATGTTCACATTGACCATTACCTTATGATATTTGCACTCTTGCCTCTGATTACACCATAAGTCAGTATAATATTTCGAGAATTTTACCGCCGATAAAACCATTAGTCAGTGCAGGTATATGGAGACTCTTACTTCTAATAACACCATAGGTTAGTATGAGTATATCGAGACTCTTACCTTCAATAACACCATATGTCAGTATGAGTATATCGAGACTCTTACTTCCAATAACACCATATGTCAGTATGAGTATACCGAGACGCTTACCTCCAATAACACCATATGTCAGTATGAGTATATCCAAATTGGGGCTAAATGATCCGGCAATAAAACCAACAGCAGCCACAACACTTCCTGCTATTGTAACCGGACGACATCCAAACTTGTTTACCAGCGCACTAACTATTGGACCTAAAATCAAAATATATCATTTAAATGTATTATACTTCTAGATATTTCATGAAAATAAGATCTTTTAAGGACAAAACTCCACTACAAAGCTTTACAAGAAAATAGTTTGCTGCTGTTATAACCGATTTGCTATTTACCGTCTCAAAATATATTGCATTTGACAAAGATAAATGTAAAACATTCATAAAAGGGTTATAGTATGAAGTTGAGTGCGATGTTGGTAACAATCACATCCTTCCAGTTTTCTCTTTTCCATTAGATTTCGTATTTTCATCTTATTCTATTACTTTTTTGAGGAGGGGATTATCTCTTTTAATTTACATTTTTCCTATTTTATCCATTTTTATTCTGAAATCGCGGACCAAATTTTATGGGAATTGATTAATTTTTTGTATCATTTTGGTCCATAATTCGAATATGTGTTCTTGTGACAGGATCAACATTGATTTGAAAAGAAACCCGTAGTTTAAACTTTCGTTAAGATATATATAAATGAAATTGATCAATAATTGTTAAATCAATCCATGTTACTAAGAGATTTTGGACAATGACATAGCAACCAGTACAAACAACCAAAAGACATTTAGAATCAACATACTGTCTTCAAGAATAGACTAAATGATGTCTTTACAATATGGCAAGCTTTAATTAGCACCAAGTCTAACAATTGGTGTATGAATCAAACAGCAAAACAAAAAGGGGGGTTTACAGGTACACGGATTTGCGGCGGTGATAATGTCTTTTAGATCGTGATCCGCAACTTTTGAAACTCTATAAGTGGACTGTTGACAAAAGGTAAATAAAAAAGATACATGAAAATCACTTCATTTTTTAGTAACGGTACATCAGAAAAAACAAACAAATCAATAATAACGTAAAGCGTATAAAAACATGCTCGTGGTAACTGAAGGCAAGATTAATAATGGCTGTATCTGTAACTTCAAATTGACTGGTGATTCACGGACTATGCACTATTCAGCGTTTTTGCAAACAAACTGATGAAGTAAGCTAACTTTTTACTGTTTTAGAAAAGTTTCCGTCCTATAAATGCTGAAAAAATCGACGAAAGGGGGTATACAGGTTGTTTTATGTAGGAATATAAATAGTGTGGTTTGAAATCTCTGTAAAATGTATCATCGATCATAAAGTTTAATTTTCTTACTTTTTCTCCGAATTATACGTTAATAACTTTTAATAAAGTAGATACCAGGATGGATCGGTTAGCCCATGAATATTATATTAAACCTTTGCCAAGGATGGTTCGGTTAGCCCATGAATATTATATTAACCTTTGCTAAGGATGGATCTGTTAGCCCATGAATATTATATTAACCTTTGCTTAAAAGTTTGGTATCCACCGTATCTAAAGTATTTAATTGGTTTATGGTATGGCACATTTTGGGCTTTTTCATCTTCGTATTAAATTTTCACTATTTACTCCTTCGTTTAGCTGTGTGGCAAGTGTTGGAAAGAACAATTTACCGCTAGTAAGGTCGCACGAGATAGACATTATGTTTTATCAGTGAATGTTTCTAGGGACCTTAGCCAATCAAACAGGGGAGTCACATGTTAATAGCCTCTATTTATACAGTTTATCACTGTCCGATATCGAGGTTATTCACACCATTTATAAACTAATTACAGGATTGAGAAGTAAATATGGTCATTGGCCATTCAGATAAAAATAGGATTATTTTATAATCATATGATTAATAAAAGCTGATTTGTCTGACTAATTTTATCTAAATGGATTTTTTTTTAAATTTCATATATGTTCATGTTGACATTTTTATATAAATAATTCCTGTATCATATAATATAGATTTGGAATGAGAATGGAGCACCCGTTAATATAAAGATTATAGTTCTCTAAACAGATTTTATGATTTTGTACGAAGTTATAGAGCATTAAAACCGAAAATCCCCAAAAAGTTGTGCCTAAATACGACTACTGCAATTTATACCTGGGGTTAGAAAAACCTTAGTGTTTCAAATACTTCAAAATTGTATAAACAGTAAATTTTCAGAAATATGAACACATCAATGATATTTCATGTCAATACATATGTTCTGCATTCTGACTACTGGGCTAACATATATTGAATCATTTAAGAATGCTTACCGTTTACACAGACTTTTCAAAATGCTTCAAGAATGATTTAGTTTTACCCCCTTTAATGAGTTAATATGGCAATTTGACTTTTGCAATGGCTGTATACTGTTGTGAACAGTAAAAAAAGTTTTCAAATGATACCCAATAAATTTCATCTTATTTATCTACTCAAACTTTATCTTCTTTTTTTTTAAATAAGTATGCATTTAACCTAGCTCTAACCAGTTTAACCAAGCGTGCATTTTTGTTATATGTAATTTCTGGTCATATCCAGTCTGAACATTGCCTTCAGAATTTTCCATTAAATTTTACATAGAAATAGATTCTATCATTACCCTGTTGCCTAAAATATTTTACCACTCTCGATATTTTATTTTTAAATTTCAACTATCTGGAGGGGATAAATACCATAATCAACGGCGTGGTGTTTTTTTATAATCAATATGTACACATTCTTTTCAATGCTTTGACATTTGTTTTTCCTCATTCTCAATCACACGCGTGTTTCTTCACCTTCATATATCACGCTTTTTGTGCCTACGATTGAAATGTAATATATTTATTTGATTATTTTCAGCTTGTTTTCAATTTGATAAAATTGAACTGAAAAATCAAATAGGAATATTTTTTAACCATATTAAAATGTATATCTTTTAGCAATAACCAGGTGTTATTATATCGATGGACTCGAAAATTGAAAGCCAATAGTTGAGAGAAAGAATATAGAAGTGTCTATTATAAGTTTATAATCAGTTTCTTTACTTTCAAAAAAAATTTAAAACAAGTCTTTTTTTCAATCAACGAGAATATTTAAAAAAGACAATAAGGTAAATACAAAAAATCAAAACAGCAGTCAGACAAAAATATTATTAAGGCAATATTCGTGTAATTCTTTCTTGGTTATTTCCGACATTAAAAACGATTACGGGATGCTTTGGGTGTAGTCACTATTTTTTTTCAACAAGGTTGTATTTATTGCTGCTTTAAAATACACTTAAAGTCAATGGTCATATAAAAAAACACAAATTAATAACGGTAAATTATATGCAGAATATGTTCCACTTCAGGTTTTCGCGCCTTATCTTCCTTTTCTGCCTCAGAAGCTTATAAATTTGGGTAGCAGTTGAAACCGGTGAGCTATATCTAAGTGGGAAAAGGCACAGGTCATTTTATCTGGTTCAATTATTGATGATGCAAAAATAAATGCGAGATGTTAATAAAAAAAAATTTATATCCCAAATCTTTCAAAAATGCTACCAACAGATTTATTCATCAAGTGCCTTCTTTATATGCAAATTTGTATTCCAAAATAACAGTTTAGAACTAGGAGTTTTTCTGAGAAAATAACCAACTATTTGAAATGTCTGAGGTATCGTATGTCCAGGATTAAGTATAGAGAACAAAACAAGACTTTTAAATTTTAACAAATAATGAAAGAAAATAACCCTTAAAATTAAGATTATGTGAGAAAATGCAAACTGCAGTAATAAACAAAACATTATACCTGCACATAAATACATTCCTATCAACAAAGATCCAACAAGGGATACTTTACTCTTAGAAGTCTGGAAGTATTCTGCAAATTTAGGAAGCAGTACACCATAGGCAAGTCCTATACCGTCCACTAGAATGTTGCACATCAGCGAACTGAACACCACGACCCAGCCCCATCCTCCATCCGGGGGCTTAGCAGTAATAGGTTCGTCTACATTTTTTCTATTCAGATTTTTTCCTTCATTCTTCTCCCCGTTTGAACTTTTATCCATGTAGTGTTGTATTCTTATTTACTGAAAAAGAATTTATACCAACTTTGATAACCTTTGCATAAAGTTTCATAAATTTCATACAATTTATATACGGGTAGAAAGTAAATAGTTTATGATGTACTTGTGGGTGCAATAGTCGTGATAACTAAAATTTATAGATAACCGTTTTCTGTCATAGCCATATCACAACCACAGATTAAACTGTCATAGTTTTGTCCCATGAAATATTTATTTGATAACAAAGAGCATAGCAGTCTCTTAGCACTGCGGTCAAGAATTCCAATTTATAAACAGGAAAAAATAGACATTAAGTGTAGTACTACGATAATTTTTAAGTTACACATTTAAAGCTTTAAAATATAAATTGTTTTAGAAAAATGTTATTTTCAAATTATCAAGTAAATGATTACTTTTAAATATATTTTCAATCATGAACAGTATAAAAAAAAACTATGATTATATCTACCAAATGATGTTTTAACGTATAGTTTGTCAAAAGCAAATAATCTAATTGTTTCAGATATCCGTTTTCCTTTCCAAATTGTATAAAATAACAGGTTTCTTCTTCAAAGAATACATTATGTCATGTTACTAACAATTCTAGTTCCTAGTGTGTTTTTTTCTCTGTCAAATTCATTCAAGTATTTTTAATGTCAACAGATAACATAACGTCAATTACTTGTGAAAAAAATCTTCCGTGAAATATACATGTATCATATGATACAAAAATAAAAACATGTTATTCTCTTTTATAGCTAAATTTGTTTAGAAACATAAAAATTTAATCAATGTAAGTACATAAGCAGATTGTTATTAAAACCAACAAACTGTATGTCACTGACTTCGTCCCATGCGTATTCATGTATCAGTGACTGTTTAACCAACTGAATGTGAAATATGACCGTTATCACGTTAACTAGATACCCCTTCAAGTGCACATTACAAATGCAAATGCAAAAACTAAATTACGGAAAAACATTTGCTCTGCTGCAAATACATTCTAATGCCATCAAAATGAAATAAACAAAAATAATTATTACAATTATATCAATTTTATTTTACCGAGGCTCTAGAGCGACACACTTTAAATTATTTTAATCCGAAATGTCGTTTGTCTGAAATCCTAATATGATTTAATGAATGTCACGGATATCAATAAATGGTGTATTTTCAGTCTATTGCTATACTGTTCACTATAACATCAATTTTATAATGATTATCATTAATAATATGAACTAATGATATTGTAAACGTTCAACAAGGAGTTTTATATCGACTATTTGTATCTCATAGATTTAAAGTCTTTTTTTTTGGCATACCTTATTCTCTTATTTCACCTGTTAACTGACTACGGCTGGTAAACATTTTAGATTATGTCCGTATTTTGTGCCCGTAGCATTAAAGTTCAAAACTCCTATACTGATTGATGTAAAAAAAGATATTAACGACCTTCATTGTTAAAAATATTTACAAAAAAATCAAATAGGAGGAGTTTCCAGTTTTTCGGAATCTGTTCATAATGCTTCTATGCGGGTGAAACGAAAAATTTCAAATGAAGAAGACCTGTCTGGTTTATGGTTGGACAGCATATGACTTAATTCGCCAGTAGGATCATTTACATCCAAGATTGTGAAATGTCTATCGTTGCCTATCATGTTCAAAAGAGATATTACTATTAGTAAAGTTGTGCAATTAAATTTGATTACCAAAGAAACGATATTATAAAACAAAAACCGTACTATTCTGTCAACAGTAAATCTACCCATACTCTACAATTGAATGTGTAGACTTCAAATAACAGCCAACACAAAAAAAAACGATGGTCTTTACAACAGCAGTGTTTTTAGTCATCTAGACAATAAACTCACCAAAGATACCAGGACGTTTCTTCTACAAAAGAATTATTAGTGACGGTCGAATAAAAAAATGTTAAAAAGGCCAAATAAAGTACGAAGTTGAAGACCATTGAGGATCCAAAATTCCGAAAGGTTTTGCCAAAGTTAAGATTATCTATTTCTAGGTAGAATAATATCCTTAAAATTTCGAAAAATTTAAACTTAAGTTATGCAGATGATACTGTTTTATTTTCTGAAACTGCACAAGATCTTCAACAGCAGCTAAATACATTTTATGAATACTGTGAAATGTGGAAATTAAAGGTTAATCCAACCAAAACAAAAAATGTTATTTTTGGTAATGGTAGATTGTCAAACAATCTAAAATTTACACTTGATGGTAATGATTTAGAAATTGTCAAGGATATGTCATATTTAGGCATTATTTTTTCCAAAACAGGTAGCTTCACAAGTGCTAAAAATCAACTCATTAGTAAAGCCATCAAAGCTATGTATGAAGTTCTAAAAAAAGGCCGTTTACATATTAACCTGACAGTTAAATGTCAGTACGATCTTTTTGATAAAATCTTTAGACCAATATTGCTATACGGCTGTGAAATTTTGGGGTTTATTCATATCATTTATGCAATAGAAAGAGCCCATTTGAAGTTTTTGTTGTAAATTTTTAAATTTGAAAAAATCAACCCCAAGCTTTATGGTTTATGGAGAGCTCGGTGCTTATCCAATGTCAGTATTTGTGGAACACCGTATGGTAACCTTTTGGTCTAACGTTGTAAATAGTTCTGATAGGAAATTGACAAATATTCTATATTGATATATTTATAAACGCAACGAAGATAGCGGATATACTTTTGAAAGGTTGATTTGTATAAAAAATATCTTGAATAAATATTGATTTTCAAATATTTGGATAAATCAGAGTAATTACAGTTTTAATCCAAAATGGTTAAAGTTGTGCATTAAACAGAGAATATTTGACCAATTTCAGCAGACTTGGAAAACAGAAATGGAAAACTCTCCAAAAGCATTATTTTATAAACTTTTTAAAGAAGACTTTGAATTTGAAGAATATTTAGACTTATTACCTTATAAAGATAAAATAACGTTATGTAGGTTTAGAACTGGAAATCACCGGTTACCTGTAGAAACCGGTAGATGGCTTTGAATTGTTAGACAGGAAAGGTACTGTGTACTTTGTTATTCTCGAGAGATAGGTGATGAATTTCACTATATTCTAAACTGTACAGCTCTAAAAGAAAGTAGAAGAGCTTTACTCAAACCTTACTATGTAAGCCGAGCAAATGTTTTGAAGTTCGGCAGTTTATTTTTTTCAAATGATATTCGGGTATTGAAAAATTTGTGTAAATTAATCAGAATTATCAATACAGAAGTATGTTCTCCAGGTTAATCACCAATCTCTCATCTTTTTATGCTCGTTTTGTATAAACTTGTCATGCGCATAATATCTGTATTTTATTATATGCAAATATATCTTTCTTTGTACCATTTACTTGGTTTTATAAGAAATAAAGAATCTTGAATCTTGAATCTTGAAAAATTCAAAGTTAAGTAAGCAGTTAATTTATAAGTATGACCATATCAATGATGATTCATGTCAACACAGAAGTTCTGATTACTGGACTGGTAATACCCTCGGGGAGGAAACATCCACCAGCAGTGGCATCGACCCAATATGAAAGTTCAATCGAAATGCACAATGGAGGTAAGTTCAAGAGTACCATCAATTTTCAGCGTATTAGACTTTTTGTGAGAACAACAACGGTCATCGTCTGTATTGATAGACGAAAGATCAAATATGGACTGTTCCAAATCTTGAAAGACTAATCGTCTAAGCTATGAGCGCATGGCATGTCCATGCATCTTATTTCGTCCATTTGTTTTTAAAGTGCCATAGCTCAAACAAGTGTGAAATACATATTAAACAATTTAAGGGAGATACCATTTTCAGTTTAGAAATAAGAAATAAATAAGCCATAAAAAATCAAATACGAATGATTTTAATATACAAAATAAGAGCTAAATTCCCTTAAGTTAACTCGAGATATCATGAGATGTGTTCCGACTTGTCCATTTTTTTATAATTGTAGTCCAACTAAAATAGGACATAGATAGCAAGAAGACATTAAAACACATCATTCAAAGAAGGAAAGATAACACCCTGTATAAAAGAACAAGAGTGCACACGCTGAAATGTCTCGCCTTCTTTACTGACCACTGATTTTATGTTGATAGTCCTACATATAAAGCTTTACTAAAAGTATCACATAAACTTAACATGAACCTAGAAAATTAGGTCAAGATCAGATAAACCAAACCGGAAATACATGTACATCTTACAATCATTCAATACACCAAATATAATTGACCTATTGCTTATAGTTTCTTAGAAACAGACTTAAACAGGAAACTAAACATTGACCAATGAACCATGAAAACAAGGTCAAGGACAAATGAACCATGCCAGACAGACATGAACACCTTACAATCAATCTATGTATTAAATATAGTTGACCTATTGCTTATTGTATCTAAGAAACAAACTTAACCATGAAAACTTAACATTGACCAATGAACCATAAAAATGAGGTCAAGGTCAAATGATACCTGCCAGACAGACAAATACACCTTACAATCATTCCATACAACAAATATAGTTGACCTATTGGTTATAGTTTAATAAAAACAGACCAAAACACAAAAACAAAACACTGAGCAATGAACCGTGAAAATGAAGTCAAGGTCAAATAAAGCCTGCTAGACTGACATGTACATTGTAAAATATTTCCATACACCAAATATAGTTGACATATTGCATATAGTATTAGAAAAAAAAGAACCAAAACACAAAAACTTAACTTTAACCGCTGGACCATGAAAATGAGGTCAAGGTCAGATGACAACTGCCAGTTGGACATGTACACCTTACAATCACTCCATACACCTAATATAGAAGACCTATTGCTTGTAGTATCTGATATATGGACTTGTCCACGAAAACTTAACCTTGTTCACTGATGCATGAAATGAGGTCGAGATCAGATGAAAACTGTCTGACGGGCATGAGGACCTTGCAAGGTACGCACATATTAAATATAGTTATAATATTACTCATAATAAGAGAGAAATTAACAATACAAAAAATCTTAACTATTGAAAATGAGGTCAAGGACAATGGACATATGACTGACGGAAACTTCATAACATAAGGCATCTATATACAAAGTATGAAGCATCCATGTCGTCCACCTTGGAAAATATAAAGCTTTTAAGAAGTTAGCTAACGCCGCCGCCGCCGGATCACTATCCCTATGTCGAGCTTTCCGCGACAAAAGTCGCAGGCTCGACAAAAACGACGAATAGACAAGCAACCGTCCACAAGATACTTCACAGAAACTAAAGATTAGGCAAACAAATTGTTGCTTGCTTTACTTACATATGTTATTATGAAGAAGGAAAAGCTAAACATAAATCGCCAATTGTTAGAAATCACAGGCTGTTGATTCTCGTGGGAATAAACAACGGAAGCGTAGTAGAATATTTTGGTTGAAATGACAGGCAAAAAATGTTCAAAATTGAAACCAAAATGTTCAATACTAGAAAAATTTTACAGTGCGGATATAGATATCCTAAATTATCTAAACCTTCTACTAAAATCTATGAAAGATAGAAATTTATTGTTGAAATATGGTTCCGTCAGTAACCATTAAGGATAAGATTAAGGATACTACCGGAACTTGAAGGTCTGCTTCATATTATGATCTATTCTCGATATTGAAACAAATGGACGACTTAAAACAAGAATCTGTGACAAACGTGATGATTTCAACTTTCCAATCGTCAGCTTTCCATTTTTCAGCAGTAACAAATCCTCTGTATCATCGTATGGGTTTTACATATCTTAATTGATAAGTAACGCTCGGGCAAGTTCACACAATACGGACTTCATTTGAAGGGTTGTGTTCCTTTCACAAATTGATCCCACAGAGTTATGTCAACATAAGAAGAACGATTAAAATCGTAAGTTTTAAAGTCATCATCACGCATTGCTTATCCGATACGATATGTTTGTGTCTCAAATCGTTAACGACATGTTTTCACAGTCTTAAATCTTTACATACCAGAATATTCGTCTAATCTATAATTTCACAGGTTGTGTCCTATTCCCGATTGTGACATTTCGACTGAGTGTGGATTCTTATGTCGGGTGGTACATGTATAGCAAGACACTTCTACCCCGTCAACGCATCCGGTCTCGTTCTTTTTTTATTTCATGCGATTCCCTCAGTTGTTGTTTGTTATCTTGATCAGACTTCTTAATCGATACGTGAGATTTGAACATCGGTAAACTACTGTTGCCTTAATCAATGTCATTTATTTTGTTATTTAGTTGTTTTACTGTTCAAGGCAGATCTTTGACAGTCTCTTGAATTTATTCAAAACGTTGTTTTACTCTGGAAATTTAGAGATTTACGTATTATAGGGACATTTGTCTATTGTCGAAGACCGTATTATCAAACTACCGTATATCAAGTCGTTTGACTTCGGATTCACAAATACGCATTCTCAATTTTATTACATTCTGATATGTGTGAAATTCAATGCAAACCAGTATAGTTGACAAATCGCACTTCAGATTTGATGAGGTATAACTGATATGACAACATCACAAGTTCTACTCTAACAGTCATTATCACAACTTTACCATGTTGACGTATTCAGTTTCACTCCGTTTGAACTTTATGCCATTCTGGGATTTTTTTCACTGATATGTTATTCTTTTTATATTTGGACTTATGATATTTCAGCTGTTATAGGTATCTTTATATTCTATGTTTTTCCTGTCATAGCTCCACTTGTCTACTTTCATTATTACCGGTTTTATCATGTTCCTTATCGTGACATTTGCTAAGAGAAATGACTTTGGAATTACATGACGGATAATGCGTGCATTGCATGAAATACTTACCCAGTCGATGCACTTTCATGTTACCTATCATACTTCTCTGATTGAGCAAAAACTTGTGATTTTATTTATTTAGTTCACCACAATACTGTTTAATATAAATATGCAAAAGAAATATTAATAAATGATCGAATGTAGTATTTGTCTTTTATTGTAAAAGTTGTGTCGGTGTCGATTTTTACTCCTGACCTTGATTTCATAACACTTTTAAATGACCTTCCCCGACAGGCGCTTTTCTTAAAGTCGAAATGACATTCTCTTTTCTTTTCAAAATAAGACAGAAAATGTAACTTTGAAGGACACACACAGAAATGAAACATAATATTTCAGATAGAGCATTTCATTTTATCCTCGTCATGATACCGCCAGGAAATTTTCTGCTAGCTTCACACCTTTTAGATAAAAAATGAACAATATTTCAGTTATTACCCCTATCTTCATCCTACCTTATTTAAGTCCAATATCAAGTCAATAAACTGATAAAACTAATATTGCAACTGATTAAATAAATGTGATTTGTACTGTCTATATTTATAACTTATTCATACTCAACTTTATAAGGTTTTCCAAGTTTATATGTATTTTCGATTTGAAGAAAATGATTTCTTAAATTAGATATTTAAAGTTAAAATTAAATTACATGCAATACCAGCAATTGAATAAACGAAGAACAAAGACAATAGTCTTATGACGTAACCAAACACAATACACATAAATTTAACTGATCAATAGGGTCAACAGGTATGACAAGAGCTTTTAAAAAGTTCTAAAGTACATTAAGGCTACCTTTGGAAATTGTGATTTAATCACTTTCAAATGGATTGGTATTTGAAGCAGTTTGCAATTGGATTTCCTCCAGTCTGCAAGTTATGACGGCTACATTGTAGATTATTCTTTGTATAACTTTTGCATGTTAAATTGTCTTTTTTCCATTTTCCTATAAAGTAAGGTTCCAATGCCATTCAAACAAATGTCATATACAGCTTATTCGTTTAAGTCATATAACAAATGATTTTGTTGTAGTATATATTCAAAATTACTCACCGACTGGATGTCATGTTGATAGAAAAAAAAACAAAGATACCAGGCATGTAATTTTGTACGCCAGACCAACATGTTGTCGACAAAAGACTCATCAGTGACACTCGATTAAATAAATGTGGATAGTGTCCACATGTGGACACAGATGATGCCCCCGCTTGCATATCATATAGTTATAAAGGGGCATAACTGAAGAACGCTAAAAGTGACGCTTCCCAAATTTAAACTTGATTTGAGTTTTGTGGTAATAAGCATTGTGTGTAAGTCTCATAACATTTGGTTGAGGCTAACTTAAGTAGAGAACAGAAACTAAAAATTCAGCAATTTTCTATTTGTAAACACACATAACTCTAGAACGGTTGTATAACATTTGGTTGAGACAAACTAAAAAATTCAGCAGTTTTTATGTTTATAAAGGGACATAACTCAAGAATGGTAAAAGTGTCGCCACCTAATTTCGTACTTAATCTGTATTATGTAGTAATAAGCATTGTGTATAAGTTTCATAACATTTGGTTGAGGCAAACTAAAGTTAGAAAACGGAAATAAAAATTTGTACTTGGTCTTAGTTTTGTGGTAATGAATATTGTGTATAGGTTTCATAATGTTTGGTTGGGGCAAACTTAAGTTACAGAATGAATACTAAAAATTTTGCAATCTCTCGATTTATAAAGGGGCATAACTCAATAATGGTTAAAGTGACACTACCCAAATTCAACTTGATCTGTGTTTTATCAGTGGAAGTCAAAATTAAACATTGCATTGTATAAAGCATTGATTGTAGTTGATTGAACTATAATCATAGACAAAGGAAGATAACTCCAATTTTAATAAAATGCTCCGCTGGGCACAGCTTGATACGACCGCAGAGGTCGAACCCTGAACAGTTGGCGCAAGTATGGACACAACATTCAAGCTTGATACACACTGACTTTGGATTGTGATTAAATATTTGACACAGCATAGGTTTCTGACACAGAATGAATGTGGTCTAAGAACTTATAAATTTTTAATTTACCTATTCAAACCATATCATTATTATTTGCTTTTATATATAAATCAGAAATAACCAATTTAAAATAAAAGATTTTAAAGAAAAAAAAGGAAAACAAAATCCCTCCCCCAAATTTTTTGCACTCCCTTATGATTCATTACCCCCCAAACTCAATCCCAGCCTTCCCTTTGTGGTATGGTACCTTGCAGTACAATTTCAGAGAGATCCTTACACTTGAACACAAGTTATTGTCTGGAAACTAGAAAAATGCTTGTTTTTTTGCCCCTTTTTTGCCCCAAATTCCTAAACGTTTAGGGCAATTACCCCTAAACTCAAACCCAGCTTTCCCGTTGTGATATGGAACCTTGTAGTACAATTTCACAAAGATCCATACACTTACACACAAGATACTGTCCTGAAACTAGAAAAATGATTGTTTTTGCCCTTTTTGGCCCTTAATTCCTAAAATTTGAGGAAATTCCCCCGAAAATCAATCACAGCCTTCCCTCTGTGGTATAGTACCTTGCAGTACAATTTCAGAGAGATCCATACACTTGAACACAAGTTATTGTCTGGAAACTAGAAAAATAAATGCTTATTTTTGGCCCCTTTTTGGCCCCTTTTTCCTAAACGTTTTGGGCAATTACCCCCAAACTCAATTCCAGCTTTCCCTTTATGATATGGAACCTTGTAGTACAATTTCAGAAAGATCCATACACTTACACACAAGTTATTGTCATGAAACTAGAAAAATGCTTGTTTTTTGCACCTTTTTTGGCCCCTAATCCCTAAAGTTTTGAGGCAATTACCCCCAAAATCAATCCCAGCATTCCCTTTGTAATATGGAACCTTGTGGTACAATGTCAGAGAGATCCATACACTAACACACAAGTTATGTCTGGAAGTTACAAAAATGCTTATTTTTTGCCCCTTTTTGGCCCCTAATTCCTTAACTAATGGTACCATAACCACCAAAATCAATCCCAACCTTCCTTTTGTGGTATTGAACCTTATGGTAAAATTTCATTGAGATCAATTCACTTAAACTAAAGTAAGAGTGCGAAAACCAATGTGTCTTCGGACGACGACGACGACGACGCCAACGTCCTACCAATATACGACCGCAAAATTTTAAAAAATTACTTGATATTTAGAATAAAATAAAAATTTTGCAATTTTTCCATTTATAAAGGGGCATAACTCTAGAACGATTAAAGTGACGCCAACAAAATTCAAACTTGATCTGTGTTTTGTGGTAATAAGCATTGTGTATAAGTTTCATAACATTTGGTTGAGGCAAACTTAAGTTAGAGAACGGAAACTAAAAATTTTGCAATTTTTCCATTTATAAAGGGGCATAACTCTAGAACGGTTAAAGTGACGCCACCAAAATTCAATCTTGATCTGTGTTTTGTGGTAATAAGCATTGTGTATAAGTTTCATAACATTTGGTTGAGGCAAACTTAAGTAAGGGGAACGGAAACTAAAAATTTTGCAATTTTTCCATTTATAAAGGGGCATAACTCTAGAACGGTTAAAGTGACGCCACCAAATTCAAACTTGATCTGTGTTTTTTGGTAATAAGCATTGTGTATAAGTTTCATAACATTTGGTTGAGGCAAACTCAAGTTAGAGAACGGAAACCAATTTTGGGACGTACGTATGTACGTACAGACGGACAAGGGTAAAACTTAATGCCCCCACCGCTACGGCGGGGCATAAAAAAAATCAATAGGCCAAATAAAGTACGACAGTGCATTGAGGACCAAACCTTTCGAAAGGAGAAGGTATTACTAATTCTTTTGGAGTATATGGTCTAAATCCCTTTTTAAGGGAAAGACAAATATCGGATGATATAAAAGGGAAGGACAATAAAAACAATTCCTTCGTCTCAAACAGAGAGACAATAACACCATTGCAAAAAAATATCAGAAGATGATTTTGTAAAAGCTTTCTTTCAAAGGTTGTTGCCATATCATGCAAGTTAATCTATTTAATTTATTCTATTACTAGTATAAGGTAATTTTCACCGTCAATATAACATAAGGAAAATAAAACCATCAATTGTTCAATAGCATTACCAAATAGTTATAAATAGTGAAATTTCCACTTAAAAGTATTCCGGCTAAATGTGTCGGAAATAACAGAAAACTGGACAGAATTAAAAAGATATAACAGAGAATATTTTTGTAAAAGGATAGTTTAACTTTTCAGCTCATTTACTGTGCTTTTCGTCCTATTAAAAGGGGGAACAATGGTTATTCAGTAAGACCCCGCCGTCACAAGAAGGACAGTAATCAAAAGTACAGATATGTTAAAACGAACTTTAGGGCATTTACTAGTGTAATAGTGTAGCATAAGCTTCTTTAGGCTTGTTGGTTAATCTTACTAGAAAATTGTATGCAAACAATTATGTATGTTATTTGTATAAACCAGGCTGCGCATTGCTTATTCAACACAATACTATATAATTAATTTTGAATAATATTTAAATTTTTTATAAAAATAAGGAGATGTGGTATGATTGCCAATGAGACAACTATCCACCAAAGTTCAAATGAAGTGGATGTAAGCATTATGTGAACATTTATTTGGCTTATGAAATACATGTCCCCATTATATTTATAAATATTGAATCATGAATATTTTTGTCTAGACAATGCACATTTATATTTTTTATCAAGATATTACGATCATATATTTATACAAAGTACAAAATATATGGGATATTTTTAGAATAAAAAACCATTTACTCTCAAAATATCATCCAATAACTATCATGTGATGTGCACATATTTTTATCAAAGACGTAGACTTAGGATTCAATCCCAGAGTGACTATACAAAAAAGATTGGGTTTCTTTATTAAGTCGAGCTATTTTGGCCGTGTGTTGTACATTTTTTCTTAGTATTTCCTGTTGTCTTTTTTATGTATTATAACAAATTAATACTCGATATATTTAAGTTCGATCACAACACAAACACTAAACATTAAGAACGGCTCAGCCTTTAGAAACGACTGTCAAAGACAGATAAAATTTTATACCAAATAATAATACCAAAGCCCGGTTTAAGAATAGCGGAAGGCATCTTTGTATGTAAAAAGCACCGAGGCAATCATAGCCATAGTTTTAGTACAGAAACTATCAGAAGGTATAAAGATATACACACTATAACTTTATAAAAAACAAATGCGCAACGATTGCTTAACCGGAGAGCAAGTCAAAAGAAAAATAACTAGAGGTGGTCTCTTATGATGTCTCGTCTTATGCATCAAACTGAGTTATAAAATAGCTCTATTGTACCTTCACCAGTTCATCGTTGGATCGTTACATTTTCCTGTGAATATGCCTATAAGAACAAAGAGGCAAATTTTGTTCTTTAACCTTTTGAGTTTGCAGATAAAACCAAGACGTCCAGGTGAAACCATACTTTCGGTCTGATATTTACCTGTGTAAACCAGTTAGCCAAT